ATATATTTTTAATTCACAAAAATAGTTTTTATAATTGTMYACTACACGCCCACGTACACGCCAACTAATTTTGGTTTTATAAGCACGGGTTCTGCCTTAAATACAATAAACATAAATAGAATCCGTATGATAAAAAAATAATAATACTTAAATTGATGGGTACCTAGTTAAGGGTGATAAATTCATTACTTTCATATTGTCCCTTTTTGGTAATTATCTGTCTCTGTCACACCATATCAGAGATTGACAACCTTTTGTAGTAACTAACACTGCCTACTAATGTACATGATAACAATTTGATTGCAGATAAAAATTAGAACCACGTGAAAAATATTGCTCAAATGGTTTTGTTTTTAATTTTAAAAATAAAGTATAAACCTCATTACATTATATAGGTATATACTTTAATACTTTATAATATATATATATATATATATATATATTAATTTTCACCCAAACGGATTATGATTATATAATACAAGTGCAGTCCACACGCCAAGGGTCAACTTATTCATTACTGCGGCAAAAATTGTTATGGTTTCATAATTTCCACGGTAGATGATTCAAAAATGATTTATAAAAATTAGTTTGATTACAATTATTGCTTGGATAACAATATAATATAAAAACAAAATGTTTTATTTCGTGTGTGCTCATGAAATAAATCTTGCACTGTAATATTTCATCTAATCTGATACTCCAACTACAATGATTTCACAAAAGAAAAACACGGCTTTTATTATCTCGCAGTTTTATCCGTCAGACCATCAATRCAATAAAATAGTCTCATTTAACTTATTCTTCTTYTTTTTTTTTAATATGATGTTAAACTATATCTAATTATAAAAACTTTGTGATGTTAAAATTAAAAATATCTGTCGAAAAAAAATGTATAGAACAAACTATATCTGATTCAGATTGAATTTTTTTAAATTCTCATACGAGTATTATATTCAGTAATTAAMAAACTATTTCGATGAGTAATAATAAATTGTTTTCTAGAACACTTTAAACAAATGCCAATTTATAACGTATTCATTCAAAATATTATTTTTAATACAAATTACAAGCGAAAACTCAATACAGGAATGAATGATTTGATAAGTATTAAAAATGTTAAACATCGATAATAAACATCGGRTTCTAATATCATACAAGATGATTCTTTTAGAGGTAAACCACTTATCTTTCGAAAAGCGTCAACATTTTTGAACTAAATATTAATTTGAGATCAATAAAAACAATATTTTTGAAAGTGAAACATTTTTTTCTCTTTAATGTTAACTATTTTTATTAAATTGTAATTTTTTTCATAGTTAACTAGTTTTATTAAATTGTAATTTTTTTAATTGTATCTAACTAAAAAATCACATTTCGAATTTGTAATTGATGGTAGTAATTTGTTAGTATTTTGAGTGAAATTACAGAAAGATAAATATTATGATTTGAAATATGACATTAAAAATGTATACTGTCATTTAAAAAATTAAAACCACAAAAAATGATAAGGATAAAAAAATCAATTATTCAAATATTCTTAAAAAATGTTTTTTGTAATGGCTAAGAAAATTTAAAAATATTWAAAACTCGAATAGTTTTCGATATAATATTATGAGCGTGCTGACAACTAAAATAATCACCTTTTTAGAATATATAAGAACTCACGCGTGTCGTATAAATATACAATAAAACAATAATAATGCGCACGCCTTAAAACGTTCACCGAACACCATTTATAATATAACATGTAGGTACTATAATACGTGCAAAAGCCGCTGGGGATCGAAAGTCATCGTCTTATCCAAGGCCCATTACGTGCTCATAATTCGGTCAAGAACAATGTCTTCCGGTACATTGGGTCTAAGGGATCCGCTCGACCCATTAAGCTTTCGTCCCATCCCAACGGATGTTGCTGATTATTTTCAAACTGTTGCTCGTGAGCAAAAACACACAGCGTACTACAACATCGTTATTTTTATCACGTAAAGCAAGTTCCTGGGCAAAAGAGGAGGAACTTGTTTTTATTCACGTGGTTTTCTTCAGTTTCATTTCATATAGCTCTGCAAGTCGATTACAACGAAAATTACTTGATAGTAGTTGTAGTTGTATAATACGTTCGATTTACTGGGAAAACTTACTGTTGTAGATAGATTTGTCGAAGTTGTGTGGTTAATTTATTTTAAATTATGTTCAGGGGAAATATATTGCATATATATCACCACAATTTATTGGCATACTGTATTGTATTACCTATGGATATTCAAGTTTATGTATACTCGTACCAAATATAATATTATGGAGGTGTTTTTATAAAAATAAACAGTTTTAATATATTTTAATATTTTCAAGTTTAAATGAATACATTTTAGTAGTTTAAATTTTAATTACTTGTACAATTTCATCTTAAAACATTATACTAGACAACTTTTAAACTTATATAATATTAACATTCCCAAGCCTGCTAAAATTGTAAAATGTTTCAAAAATCTACATAAGAATGTGAATATCACATCATCATAATGAGGTATACCTATATTTAAAAGTCAAATTCTAAATTCTTAGASTTTTGAACACCTAGTCATCCTATATATTTAGAATATTGGAAAATACTTTCAACCCTATGCAATTCTAAAATAAATAATATAAAATAAACAGTATAAATATTTTTAACGTTTTTATTTCCCTAAATAATTATTATATTGAAATTATTCAAAAAAGTTAATTTTATGTTATCAACTCAAAGAAGCACTTTTAGGTTGTTATTATGTTTATTCAATAAATCACAAATATATTTTAATTTAATACTAGTTAAGTTTATAGTAAGKTAACTTTTTATACTTAATTATTTTTTTATATACTGTAATCCTACAAAATAAATTGAAATATTTATTGAAGACACTTTTTTTCAGGAATTATGATTTGATCATCAATTTCTAGAAAATTTCTGGTAGTATGGTAGCAAAATGGATCTAGTTTGTACTATGGAGGGGTGGGGGGGGAGGTGTCAAAACTAGACATTTTTCAGTATTTTTTCTTAATAATCAAGATACCCAAAAAACTAATATGAAATATTTTAAATTTTAATGATGATAATTGTTTGGCAACCATAATACACACTAGACACCTACTATATACATAAAATCGGTTAAACATGTACTTGCCCACTTGAGTTATTATATGATGTTGTTATTTAGAAAAAAATTAATCTTAAACTTGAAACTTTTACCAATTGATGGTTATTATTATTTACTTGACAATAAGAGATTTTCAAAATTTTCAGCAACTAACCAATGCACATTGCACGTATTACTTACGCGGTATATATTTTCAAGTTCATAACAGACAGCAATATTATATGAAATAATATAACAGTAGCAATTTGCTGTACATATAACATGTTATTAWACGTTTTTATTTGGCAAATATGAGATATTTACGTATTTGAATTTGGTACGTTGGTGTTTTGTGGTGAAATCTAAGATCCATAAACCGAATTTGACTAGCCTAAGTACAGACTGGTTTTTTTACAATTCATTGTATAAATGTTTTAGTGTTTATTAGTTTTCACCATTTCCTGATTACAAGTGTTGACGACTTTCGAAAATAGAAAGATTAAATACCTTCCATATGTTTCAAATATAAACATATGAAGTTGTTTCATGAAACTTTTCAGGTAATCAATTCAAMGTAAGTACTATAAAAAATAAAAAGCGTTATCAGAGATTGGAGAAAAATTATGTTTATGGATATAACAATTTTTRTATAGATTTAATTAAAAGAGAAGAAAATWGAACATGCCAGTCGAATGAAAAACAATACGTTAACTAATATTAATGTTGTTTCATATATAGGTAGGTTAATCAAAATCGACTTAARACGACGTTACACCMGCATGTGTTGTCTCTGTCTTACAAGTGCGTAACATTGCAAAAATTGTTTCGCGCGGGAAAGAACCGAGAAAGCTACAGTTATAACTAAGAAACGAAATTTTCACCACATAAAGAGGAGAATTTTGTCTGTGCAATAACGTTTTTATTTTTTCGATATCAGAACTACAAACAAAGTTATYCATGCTTAAAAAACACAAAATTAAGGTATTATGAAACAATAAGGATTTTTTTTGAATAATTGATATCGATAAAATAAAAACGATATTGCACAGACAGAATTCTCCTTTTTATGTGGTGAAAATTTGGTTTCTCAGTAATAACTGCAGTTTTCCCGATTCTTTCCCGCGCGAAACAGTTTTTGCAATGTTACGCACTTGTAAGACGGYGACAACACATGCGGGTGTAACGTCCTCTTAAATTTATAACAATAATTTATAAGAACTGGATAAATGTATGCAATTCAATAGAAATATTACTTTTTTTTTTTAATGTGTAAGGCTGGTATTAACAAATATGTAAAAAGAAATTGAAATGATCAATATTATTACTATAGAATATAATATAGACATGATATATTATTTTAATTAATTTTTTTTTTTWAAAGCTTTATATTCTATACACATCAACATTAAAATGCCTTAGGCATGAAAATTGTTTTAATTTTCCTCAAGTTTTAATCACCCTTGTTCACTTTCGAACACACATGCCACAAAGCATTATTGAATATATGTATGAAAATGAGTTGTTTTACTGAAAATTGAGATGTTATGACTATACCTATGAAGCAACGGAAAACCGAAAAATAATAAATTATTCCCACGTTATACTCATTTTTCCTATAATAATAGGTGCACAAAAAATGAGGGACGTGAAATTATTATTTAGTATATACTGTACATATATAATACAACGTACGCCTAAATATATTTAGAATTTTGAAATTCTGTTGAAATAAAATATTTTGTGTTAGAAATTCTTTTATTAATTTCTATACGTACATTTACACTACCTAAGAGCATAACGTCAAACCATATAGCTACAGAAAAAAGCTAATTTCATTCAAATATTTTTGTGATATTTATTGTAAAAAATAAAAAATTTAACACCAACCTGATTAAAATCCACAAAGTTCGTCATCGAGTATAAGTTATCGGAGAGAATACGTTAGTTTACAGAGCTATAGGTTCACTGAGCCTTGTGTACGGAATTCTGAATATACTCAAAGAATATACGGCCGATGTAGGGAGAAAGTTAACGATTCGGTCGGATGCTTGTTCTAGGTTCCCCCCTACTCATATATACGCTCGATTTGATTTCATAATAATAATTCCATGTTATTATTATTTCATAAATATAACCACATGTATCATCGTTATGATGAATTTGTTTGCATTGAGTAATTTCGTCAAAAGTAAGGTCATCATAGTGTATAATGGAAGGTGGTATCACCGCTACCCTATAATAACAATTATCGTGAAACTTTCGGTCTATACTTATCCGTTTAATGGTTTATAAAAATAGAAAAAAAATCACTTATTTTGTTTAATATAGAAAGTCGTTTTGTCTATGTTTAGTGTACATCTTCTCGATTACCACATACATGGTTTGCACAAACGCAAAAACGTAAATAGAATGCACCACGACAAAAGACTTGGTTGTAATAGTAACGGTTTTGAAAATTGCCGGTGGCCAGTATTAGATTACCCGCCAAAACTATGCCTGTTGGTTGAAATGTCTTGTTCCGCATGCCAATGAATGTATAGAGGTACCT